CCTCGTGGAGAGCCCCAACGTCACCTACAGCAAGGACTTCATCGAGGCCAAGTACACCTACAGCACCGTGCACGTCTGCAAGGAGAACGGCGTCACCAAGGTGGGCAGGGGCTCCGGGGGGTTTGGGGGGGGGGTCTCCGCTCTTCCCCGCTGTCCCCAGCTGTGCCCTCTGTCTGTCTGTCTGTCCGCAGGTGCGGCCGTGCTCCACCCGCTTCACCTTCCGCACGGGCCGGCAGGTGCCGCGCCTGGGGGTGATGCTGGTGGGCTGGGGGGGCAACAACGGCACCACGGTGACAGCGGCCGTGCTGGCCAACAGGCTGGGGCTGTCCTGGATGACCAAGACGGGGCGCAAGGTGGGTGTCCCCAGCAAGGTGGGTGTCCCCAGGGTGAGCCCTCCAAGGTGGGTGTCCCCAGGGTGACCCCTCCAAGGTGTGTGTCCCCAGAGGGATCCCAGTGAGGTGGGTGTCCCCAGTAAGGTGGGTGTCCCCAGTGTCACCCTTGCAAGGTGGGTGTCCCCAGGGTGACCTGAGTGAGGGTGTTCCCCCAGTGTCACCCTTGCAAGGTGGGTGTCCCCAGAGAGATCCCAGCGAGGTGGGTGTCCCCAGCAAGGTGGGTGTCCCCAGGGTGACCCCTACAAGGTGTGTGTCCCCAGAGGGATCCCAGTGAGGTGGGTGTCCCCAGCAAGGGGGGGTGTCCTCAGTGTGACCTGAGTGAGAGGGGTGTCCCCAGTGTCATTCCAGCAGGGTGAGTGTCCCCAGAGATGCCCCAGCAAAGGGGATGTCCCGAGGCTGATCCCAGCGAGGTGGGTGTCCCCAGCAAGGTCCCTGCAAGAGGTGTGTCCCCAGTGTGACCCCAAATAAGAGGGTGTCCCCAGGGTGACCTCAGTGGCACGGGTGTCCTCAGTGTGACCCCTGCAAGGCCCATGTCCCTGGGGTGTCCCCAAAAGGACCCCTGCAAGGCCCATGTCCCTGGGGTGTCCCCAAAAGGACCCAATGAGCTCCTGGGACCATCCCACAGGGGATGGGGACCCCCAGCTCAGCTGCCTGCACCCCAATCTCCTCCCTGCCTCTGCCGAGGGGGCTCTGCAGCCCCAGCCCCCCTCTCTGGGGGTGCAGGGACCCCTCCTCCCCCTGCCAGCTCCTCATCCCTGCCTGTCCCCTCCCAGACAGCCAACTACTACGGCTCCCTGCTCCAAGCCTCCACCGTGTGCCTGGGCACCGGCCCCTCCGGTGATGTCTACGTGCCCTTCCGGGACCTGCTGCCCATGGTGCACCCCAACGACATCGTCTTCGACGGTAGGTGGGGCACGGGGGGGACCCCCCGGCGGCGCGGGGCACCCCGAGCGCTTGGGTCACCCCGTGTCCCCCAGGCTGGGACATCTCCTCGCTGAACCTGGCGGAGGCCATGAGGCGGGCGGAGGTGCTGGAGTGGCCGCTGCAGGAGCAGCTCTGGCCGCACATGGAGAAGATGAAGCCGCGAGCTTCCATCTACATCCCCGAGTTCATCGCCGCCAACCAGGAGGAGCGGGCGGACAACGTCCTGCGAGGCTCCATGGCCGAGCAGGTCCTGGAGGGGTGGAGCAGGGGAGGGGACGAGGGCCACCCACGGAGGGGGGGTGACACCGAGCTGACGCGTCCCCTCCCCTCGCCTCGGCCGTGTCCCAGGTGGAGCAGATCCGCCGGGACATCCGAGACTTCAAGGAGAGCAGCGGGGTGGACAAAGTCATCGTCCTGTGGACGGCCAACACGGAGAGGTTCTGTGACGTCGTGCCGGGGCTCAACGACACCGCCGACAACCTGCTGAGGGCCATCGAGGTCAGGGGGCGGGCGAGGGGAGCGGGAGGGTGACACCGCCTCGGCGGTGGCTCTGAACCGCCCCGTGTCCCCGCAGCGAGGTCTGGAGGTGTCGCCGTCCACGCTCTTCGCCGTGGCCAGCATCCTGGAGGGCTGTGCCTACATCAACGGCTCCCCCCAGAACACCTTCGTGCCGGGGGCGGTGGAGTTGGCCGCCCAGCGCCGCGTCTTCATCGGCGGCGACGACTTCAAGTCGGGGCAGACCAAGCTCAAGTCGGTGCTGGTGGATTTCCTGGTGGGCGCCGGGCTCAAGGTACGTGGGGGCTCAAGGAGGGGGTGTCCCTGCCTGCAGGGCACAGGGGGTGACCTGCCCGTGCCACCCCTGCCCAGACCAAGTCCATCGTGAGCTACAACCACCTGGGCAACAACGACGGGAAGAACCTGTCGGCGCCGCAGCAGTTCCGCTCCAAGGAGATCTCCAAGAGCAACGTGGTGGACGACACGGTCCAGGCCAACCCCGTCCTCTACGGCCCCCAGGACAAGCCTGACCACTGCGTGAGTTGGGGGGGCCTGGGGGGGGTCACACACACACACACGGGGGTGACAATGACGGGGACGTGGCTTTGGCAGGTGGTGATCAAGTACGTGCCCTACGTGGGGGACAGCAAGCGGGCGCTGGATGAGTACACGTCCGAGATCATGATGGGTGGCACCAACACCATCGTCATCCACAACACCTGCGAGGTGCGTGCAGGGCCACCGGGCCGTCCTCGGCGTGTCCCCGCGGTGTCCCCTGAGCGCCACGGCGGCTGCTGAGCCCCTCGCTGCCCGCAGGACTCGCTGCTGGCCAGCCCCATCATCCTGGACCTGGCCATCCTGACGGAGCTGTGCCAGCGCATCACCTTCTGCACCGAGGCCGACCCCGAGTTCCAGGGCTTCCACAGCGTCCTGTCCATCCTGGCCTTCCTCTGCAAGGCCCCCCTGGTGCCCGAGGGCACCCCCGTGGTCAACGCGCTCTTCCGCCAGCGCAGCTGCATCGAGAACATCCTGAGGTACCCGGGGGACCCCGTCCTCGTGGCCACCAAGTGCCACCACGCCGGTGCCCGCGGTGGCACCCGAAGGCTTGCAGGGTGGTCCCAGTGTGGGATACCAGGGCGTCCCAGTGCCCACGGTGGGGTGTCCAAATCCAGGGGGTCCTGAAGCCCAAGACCTGGTGGGTGGGTCCCAGTGTCACCAGTGGGTTCCAGTCTGTGCTGGTGATGGTCCCAGTGCCCAGAGATGCCCAGGAACAAGGTCCCAGCAAGGATGGGTCCCCATTTCCCAGTCACGGGGCGCCCAAGGGGGACTGGGGTGTCCCAGCACACAGACCCTGGCACCCAGTGGATCCCAGTGCCTGATGCCCGAGGGGGTGCCCAAAGCAACTGGATCCCGGTGCCCAGCACCAGTGGCTCCCAGTAACCAATACTTGGGGTTCCCAGTACCAGTGGTCCCCAAATCTTGGGGGTTCCTAACTCCAGTGGGTCCCAAAGCTTGTGGATCTGAGCACCAGTGGGTCCCTGCTCCCAGGGGGTGCTCCCAGTACCTGGCGTGCCCCATTCCAGCTGCTCCCAGTGCCCAGCACCTGGAGGTGCCACACTTTGGTGTCCCCCAGTTCCCAAAGCTCATCACCCAGTGCCTGAACACCCATCCCACTGCTCCCCCAGTGCCAGAACACCCATCCCAACCCCCCCAGTGCCTGGAATCCCATCCCACTGCCCCCCCCGTGTGTGTGTGTGTGTGCCCCCCCAGGGCCTGCCTGGGGCTGCCCCCCCAGAACCACATGCTGCTGGAGCACAAGATGCAGCGGCCGGCGCCAAGCCCCAAACGTGCCTGTCCCGGGGGGGCCACCTGTCCCCTGGTCCCCAAGAAGAGCCCGGTGGCAGCGCCCGCCCAGCTCAACGGGCACCCCTGTGCCCCCCGGCCGGGGCCCCCCCGAGCCCCCCTGCACATCGACGGCGCCGACTGACCCCCCCCGCCCGCTCCCCGCAGCTTTTTGGGGGGGGCTGGGCTGTGGGTTTGGGGAGGGGGGGTTGTTCACGCCCCCCCCTCCCCACCCCAATTGTTGACGGCGACTCCAAACTGTGAAGCTTTGTACCCACCAATAAACCCCGAGCACGGCGCGACCCCCCCTCTGCTTCCTGGGGTCTCTTCACTCGGGGTTCGGGGTCCCTCGCTTGCTTCTTGGGGGTCTCGCCTGGTCTTTGGGGTCCCCCCGGTGGATCCCTGGAACCTCAGCCGGTTTTGGGGTCACTTTGCTCGGTTCTGTGAGTTCCTTCACCTGGTTTTGGGGTCCCTTCACTGGGTTTTGGGGTCCTTTGATTTGGTTCTTGGGGTCCCCCTCACCTCTTTCCTCTTAGTTTGATTTTGGGGTCCCCTCCCTTGTTTCTGTGATTTCCTTCACCTGGTTTTGGGTCCCTTTCATTGGTTCTTGGGGTCCCCCTCACCTCGTTTCTCATTTGATTTTGGGGTCCCCTCACTTCTGTGAGTTCCTTCACCTGGTTTTGGGTCCCTTTCATTGGTTCTTGGGGTCCCCCTCACCTCGTTTCTCATTTGATTTTGGGGTCCCGGGGTCCCTTCACTTTGTTTTGGGGTTCCTTTGGTTCTTGGGGTCCCCCTCCCCTCCTTCCTCTTCGTTTGATTTTGGGGTCCCCCCACCCCCATCAACACCCAAATATCGCCACCTTCTGAAAAAAAATCAAATTACATTTATTGATGCCGGGGGGGGGTGTTGGGGGGGGCGTCGTGGATTTTTTTTTTTTTTTTGGTCATTTTAGGGCTTTTTTTTGTTTGTTTTTTTTCTCTTTTTGTATTTTTTCTTTTTTTTTTTTTTAGTCCCCCTCACCTCCTTCCTCCTAATTTGATTTTGGGGTCCCTTCACTTGGTTTTGGGGTTCCTTTGGTTCTTGGGGTCCCCCTCCCCTCCTTCCTCTTCGTTTGATTTTGGGGTCCCCCCACCCCCATCAACACCCAAATATCGCCGCCTTCTGAAAAAAAATCAAATTACATTTATTGATGCCGGGGGGGGGTGTTGGGGGGGTCGTCGTGGATTTTTTTTTTTTTTTGGTCATTTTAGGGCTTTTTTTTGTTTGTTTTTTTTCTCTTTTTGTATTTTTTCTTTTTTTTTTTTTTTTTTTTTTTTTTTTTTTTTTTTTTTTTAGGAAGGGGCGGGGCGGGGCGCTGAAATGACAGGGGGAGGTTTGGGCGTGACGGGGCGGGGTTCGATCATTAAAATTAATGAATTTAATTAATTTTTTTTTTTTTTTTTTTTTTTTTTTTTTTTTCGGTGGTGGGTTTCGGGTCTGGCTGTCGGCGGCCTCGGCGCGGGGCTCACACGCTCATTGTCATGCTGGGCGAGTACTATAGAGAGAGCGGAGACACCACAGCGTTAGGGGGGGGGTC